TAAACATAGCTGAACTGATTTTGCACTGTCTCTTGGAGTTCTTTGGGCTAAACCTGACACTTTTCTTCCTTTAGGAAGTACATGGCAAGAGAAGATTGCCAATATCCGGATGCAGATGGAACAACACAGCAAGAAGCCCACAGCAGTCTTGCTCTCTGGTCTTGAGGAGACGGCATGTAAGTCACTTACTATTTAACATGCATCCTCACATTTCCTTCTCTCCTAGAATTATGTCATCCTTTCTTGCCTATTTTCCTACTCCTTTCACCACTGGCTTCTGTGGTGACAGAAAGATGCTGGAACCCTTACCTAGGCAAAAGGGGCTGAAACATTTTTTTAAGTCCAGAACATCCAGATAACATTCGGAAGCAGTTCAGGCAGATGTTCTCCCTAATTCACTGAATTATAAGAAGGAGGGGAGGTAAAGCACAATCACACTTGCAAGATGCTGTTATTATAGCCAATCTCAGCAAAAATAGTTTTAGCCTTCCTGCGGAGTGGATTTCCTGGTCTGGTCTACCTAGCGGGGTTGACACTTCTCAGCTTGGCCTGCAAACGTTTTCTGATCAGTCTTAAGCTTAGTAAGTGGAACTACTAAGGCTTCTCAAGAACTCAAGCCTGACGTTCAGTTGTAGAGTACCACTTTGCTTGCAGAAGTTTCCGAGTTTACTTCGAAGCATGTCCCGATAAGATCTGGGTGAGTACAGAAAATGTTTTGGATGATTCCACCTCGGAATACCATTGCCCTACCTCTTCCAAAACCTCTGCTCATCCAACTCCCCTCTTTCCAGTTAATATCTGCCAGGATCCATCTGTATACTTAAAGACCACTTTGCAGATTAGAAACCTCTACAAATCCAACAGCTGATATGCCCAGCATGTTAAAGATTCAATCTTGCCTCTCGTTCCCCCATTACTCAAAGGCTCTAGTTACCTCTTCTTCCCACTTTTGTCTCAAATTCTCCTTCCTGGCTCCCTGTCATGCCCTTAGCCGCTTCCCTGTCCCTCTTCTGCTATCCTCTCTTCTTTTAATTGCTTAAAGACTCTCCTGATTTAAAGGAGGGAGATATTAGAAACTTCTTTTTGTTTCCCGTAGGGCTCTTCAATCTTCGAGGAGATGACATTCCTTACACCCCTGTCTTCTATGCTTACACTCTTCTCACCAAGACAGATATCAGGTACTTGATCTCCCTGCAACGGTTCAGACAACAGTCTGGTTCCCATCATAAAGTGGGAGCTTCCACAAAATGTGGTCAGGTTCCAACCAGGCAGTCAGCCACCTCCTTTCCATTCCATTCCATTCCATTCCTTTCCTTTCCTTTCCTTTCCTTTCCTTTCCTTTCCTTTCCCCTCCCATTCTCTTTTTCATTTGATTTTCCAACTCCACCCCCACAAATCAGCACGCTCAGACGTTGTTGGGCTGTCTTTAGGAGAGAGAATTGCTTTCTTCATCTTTTTGGGTTTTTTCCTAAAGATCTTTTGGTCCTGTGGTGTCTTTGGGGTTTCCTTAAGCTTCCTAATATCCATCTCACGTGCAGAGTCATGTGGGCTCTGACCATTGGAGTTGCTGAGGTCCTGGCAATCATCTTTGCTGTACTGTATAGTACGATAGAGAAGATAACAAAGCCCCAGGTGCAGGTCTGAAAGCCTTGTAAGATCCAGGACAACGTCATGGTGCTGTCATCAGCTTTTAGACCTGAGCCTTGAGTCCAAGTTAAATGTTGCTTTGCAAACAGGGTGCGGGAATGTCTTAATGAAGAGACTCATGGCCTTGGCAGCTACATGGCATGTCCATATTTAGGGACGGTAGTTCTCTGATCTGCCAGGGGACTGAAGTTGCAATTGCTATAGACACAAAAGTTTTGCCCACAAGCTTCTAGAGCCTCTTGGCTGGATGCCACAAAGGAATCTGAGTGCCAGCTGGAACTTTGAAGCCAGCTGGTACTTTGAAACAACCTCGAACTCTGATCTGATCTGACAAGACAAGGCTTAAGCTCTTAAGGAGGAAATCAGTTACTTGCAAAATCGTGGGGGGCGGGGGAATGGGAAAAGAGCCATGTTTATATGGAGTGTACTTTGTGTATTTGGAAGCAAACATACAGCTTACATTTGAATTCACAGGCATGAGAAGGAGCAGGAATGCTTTGGGTTGTGAAAAGCATGCAGTGGGTCTGTCTAATACAGCTTTGTGTTAAAATAACTTGACTGTTTAGGCTATTGCAGATGGGGAGATTTTAAAAGAAATGAATGATCCATAATAGTTGGTGTTATATTTGTGTATATTTTCAGTGAACAGCAAAACAAATGTGGGGGAGAGAGGCCTTTGCCAATGTGATGTCCTCCAGATGTGTTGCACTACAAGTTCCAAGATCCTTTGTCCAAATGGGAATTGTAGTTCAGCATATCTGGAACATACCAAGTTGAGGAAAGCTGACCTAAGCCATTTTCTTCATTGCACTGAGAAAAGTAACAAGGGGGCCTAAAAGAAATGCCTTTGGACCCGGGGAGGCCCGTTTCAGTCTTCCCTTTAGCCAGTGGGCAGTGGGTTGAAAGCTGCAAGATGTGGGCTGAAGTCTTGGCTTGGCCCAAATTCAGTGGGCTGATGTTAGGCCAATCATCCACTCTTAACCTAGCCTAATTTGCAAGGTTGTTACGGGGCTAAAAGGAGGGAGCGTGGCCAGGAAGTGCTATCCGCCAGCCCATGGGGCAATGGTGGGGTGAAAATGAAGAATTCCAGAGGTGTGAATGGGGCTGTCCTCTGAATGCTGAACCACCACTCCCAGCAGCCCAAACGTTCAATGGTGAAGGATGCTGGGAGATGTAGGTAGGCAACATTTGGGAAAGTCACATTTTCCCCACTCCTGGAAGAAACTCTTCTCCAGTTGGACATCTCAGTTTCCTTTGATTTGCCCCCAGTCTGTTTGTGAACCGGAGTCGCCTGAGCACCGAAGTAGTCCAGATGCTGACGACAGAATGCCCAGGATCTCTGTGTGTGAAGCTGGAAGACTATGGCCAGATAGGTGCCAGCGTGAGAAAATATGCCCAGCAGGACGGGGTGGTCATCTGGATCGGAACAGAGTACACAACTCTGGGACTGTATCAGGAGGTCCCAGAAGTAAGAGAGAAGAGAAAAAGGAAACATAAGATTCTTCTTCTTCTCCCCAACCTACCCTACGGTTTCCCCCATGATTACAGGGGGAGTGTCTCTTAATCACTCCTCCCTCCGCAGCTATGAGCAATCTCTTCAAACACCTATTGAGTCCAAGAACTTAAACCCATTTTAAAAAGACCAGAAATTAAGCCGAACCACAACACCATCTTAGAAGCTGTAAACAGGAATAGAGCAAACTGAGCAAGTAGAAGAAGATAACCATCAAAAATATTTCCATTGCTACGTCAGGCCATCAGCAATTCCAAAAAGAAAAAGAAAAAAGACTTGGATCTGTGCTACAGTTTGCACTGTGCTCCTAATAGCAAAGTCAGGCCAATGTAATTCTTAATTTCTAAAAGGGAAAAATAATAAATGCTCTATTTCCATTTTAGGAGAGATTTATGCCACTTCCTTCCTGCTAACTCTGATCCCATAAGTCTCTGCTAGCTCTTGTAGAGTCGTGACAAGGAAAGAGACCCTGTGCTTCTGTTCCCTGCAGAAACTTTTGTAGATGAAATGGACAGGAACTGAGGGCAGACAAATGCAATTGATGAATGGAATTTGCTGGTGGTATAGTTGGGTAATATTTAACGTTTAATATGCAGAGTTATTTAATCTCTGAATGGTTGCATATCCTCACATATAGAATAGTCTATGCTGATGCCAATCTAATAAGCCAATCCTTCTCTATTTGGGCAACTTCTTCTTATTCCATTCAATGCAGCCTAAGACATCTGTCCTAAAAAGACCATCTGTTAGCCCAGATGTGGCCACAGCCAAGTCATTAGATGCTTTTCAAGTACATAAGGCAAATTCATAGAGGCCAAGTCTAGCATCAATTCTAGCTTGTGATGGTTACAGACCAGAAGTTGTCACTTGCTAGTCAAGGGTAGATTCATCTTCCAAGCATTTACAGCTGTTTGCTGATGATGGGAATTGTAATCCAACCGGGTCTGAAGGGCCAGTGTTCTCCAGCCTCTACTGGACTCTGCCCTGCTTTTCGTGCTCTTTGTGGGCTTCCCAACTCTCCAGTGGTCTCTCTCAACCCGTGGTGGGAAGCAGTATGCTGGATTCTGTAACCATCTGGTCCATTTCAGGAAAGCTCCTATGAACGTGCTTAACTTTTTCCCAGTTTTTCTTACTGAGTTCTTGGATCAAACTCAAGTTCTGTGGACAAGCCAGCAAGTTTTCCCCCTCCTATCCCACGTGAAACTCCAACGGAAGAGCTTCTGAGATTCATGGAGCAGCAGAAGCTCTTGTAGGAACTGCCCCATCCCAGAATCCGCCTGACCTGAAGTGAATTATGTCAAGGTCCCAGTGAATGATGCCAAAGGCCTATTCCCAGATGTGTATTTGCAGGTGCATCCCTCAAAAAGCTGTCCTAATTCCCATTTTCCTGTTCACAGGAAAAGCTCTTGAAAAATAATTTCTCTCCTGTCATGCTCGCCAAGGCTGTCAAAAACTCCAAGGAGCAGAAGCTGATGGAAGCAGCACATGTACGTAATCCCATTACAGGGACACCCACCCCGTGTGATGCAATGACCTTGAGCGCTGAGGTCCAAAAGGACCTTCAGGAGTCAACGAAAAGGAACTCCTTTCCCGACCCCACTGCAGCTGGCAAAATTTTGAGTGTTGCAGAACAGCTCCATTAAGCTGAGCTGAAGCAAAGTGGCCCAAAATCAAGGGACAGAGGGGCGGAGGTAAGAAGAGCACAAGGTATAGTGGGAAACTCTTGCCTGCAGGTTCTTGGAGTGTGTGTAACCAAGCTCCCATCAAAGTTTGGGATTTTTCCTTTCTTTAATGGGTGGTCTTAATTGCAGATGTATAGGATGGGTGTGTTATCTATGTGTATGTTAAATTCTTTCCCACTAGCTGGTTTCTCACCACACACACACAGACATAGGCGTAGAACTGTTCTTCCCCTTACAGCATTTTGGATCACTTTTAAAAGGATAGTTAAAATGTGTGAGAGGCTTTCTGTTAATATTTCACTCTCCACTGAGGTCTGAAGATAGAAATAGGCTCTGGAAGGCAGTGAGGCTAGACATTGGTTCTGGAACCACACTTCAGTAGCTATGCACACATTAAGTGTTTAACTTGTTACTGAATTAATCTATTTGGGGGGTTCCCCCAATAGCCTGAATCACACTGACCCAAAGAGCTAGATTTGCACATCAGGCTAAACCACAAAAAGCAAACATTATTCAAACTACCCAAGCCGACTGTTGTGTAAATAGAGCCCCAAGGGTTTTACTAACCCAGAGAAGTGCCCAGTGAGCAGAGCCAGTAAGTCGTCGTTTAAATTTTGTTCTGGCTGAAGCAAAAAATGACAGGACCATGGGTGTCTTTCTATCAAAACCTGCTATTGTAGCCTCTCCCTTCCAAGCTTGTCCTCATGCGGTGGCGTAGGGTGAATCACAGCGGCCCACGTGTGGGCCTCTCTTTGCTTTGCGTTTGCACAGATACGAGACGCCGTGGCACTGATCCGGTATTTGGTTTGGCTGGAAAAGAACGTGCCCAAGAACTCTGTGGATGAGGTGTCTGGTGCACACTACCTGGACTCATTACGTAGGTCAGTCTAAATAGGGCAATTTTAGGTGCCACTAGTAAACAGAGGAAAAACAGTACATCTAGAACAGCCTTCTCAACCTTGGCAACTTGAAAATGTGTGGAATTTTAACCCCCCCGAAATACCCACCCACCACCCCGGGCTGGGGGGGTCTGGG